GTTTCACGTTGAAAATCCCGGACCTGGCTTCGCGGCCAAGTTTATCCGTCACCCCTTCCAACTCGCTGTGAACCTGGCACACAAAAAGCAAGAAGAAAAAAAACGAAAGATTATGAAAAGACGGAAGAGAATTATCAAGGAAACCAAGTGAGAAAAAACCTGTCTCTCCAAAAAATTTTCTTCCTAGTCCCACACCTCCCATGGAATGCGTGAAATGTTGGGGATTCAATCCCTCAAATGAAAGCAATGGGTGTTCCAAAAACGTACCTTCAACTTTTTTCAAATACTGATGTAAACGTCGAATTTGATCACAAAAAAAAATGAAAGATTATGAAAAGACGGAATTATAAAAAAAACCGTCTCCAAAAAATTTCCTTCCTAGTCACCTCCCATGGAATGCGTGAAATGTTGGGGATTTAATCCCTCAAATGAAAGCAATGGGTGTTCCAAAAACGTACCTTCAACTTTTTTCAAATACTGATGTAAACGTCGAATTTGATCACAAAAAATAAAAACGAAAGATTATGAAAAGACGGAATTATAAAAAAAAACCGTGTCTCCAAAAAATCTCACTTCCTAATCTCACATCTCCCAGAGAATGCGTAATATGTTTGGGGTTCATCCCTCAAATGAAAGCAATGGGTGTTCCAAAAACGTCAAATTTGATCATAAAAAAAGAGATTATGAAAAGACGGAGGAGAATTATGAAGAAAAACCAAGCGTCTCCAAAAAATTTTCTTTCTAGTCTCTCACATCTCCCAGAGAATGCGTGAAATGTTGGGGGTTCAATCCCTCCAATGAAAGCGAGAGGTTTTCAAAAAATTTACCCTCAAATCTACCCAAATACTGTAGCCGTGAAAATGGATCACAATGAAAAAAGAAAAACGAGAGATTATGAAAATAATTATCAAGGAAACCAAGTGAGAAAACCTGTCTCTCCAAAAAATTGTCTTCCTAGTCCCACATCTCCCAGAGAATGCGTGAAAAGATGGGAATTCAATCCCTCAAATCAAACCAAGGGGTTTTCCAAAAACTTATAAACTTTTTCAGATACTGTAGCTGTGAAATTGGATTTTTTTAAACGAAAAAAAACGATAGATCATGAAAAGACGGAAGAGAATTATCAACGAAAAAAAAAGTGAGAAAGCCTGCGTCTACAAAAATTTTCTCCCTAGTCCCACACCTTTCATGGAATGCGTGAAATGTTGGATTCTACCCCTCAAGTAAAGGCTAGGCGCTAGGGGGTATCACAGAATTTTATTCACTATCCTTTTTAAATAGCTGTAAAATTGGGACACAAGAAAGTACTGCTGTATAGAAAACAACCAGAGATTATGACAATTAGGACAGAAGAGAATTGTCAAGAAAATTAAGTGAGAAAAATCCATCATTCGGAATTTATTCCTGCTCTTACACTTGAGCATGAGAAATACTTGAAATTTTCGATTCAATGCATCCGACGAAATCTGTATATTTAAAAAAAAATTGTATCCTTCATATCTTTCAACTCAATGCAAATCTGACATAAAAAAGAGCAAGGGAGAAGGAAGAGAGAGAAAATCAGTCTCTCTAAATGTTCTGACATTGTTAAACCTCAAGGACAAATACCTGAAATCCAACTTTCAGTCCCTGGAAATTAAAGCAGGGGATATCGTAACGTTTTTTCGAAGTAGCTACAAACTTTGCAAAGGAAAAAAATCGAAAATTATGACCAGACGAAAGTTCTTGTTCCTTACAAAACTGTCGGTAAGCCTTTTTGGACTGTGAAGTATAGTGAGTAATTTTAATTTTGCGAACCAAGTAGTATTCAGGGATGGAGTCCGATAATTTTTTTACTATTGTCCTGATAGATTCTTTTTTAAGGAATACATTTAGAATCACTGCGTTACTTGAAAAATTGGACGAAGCCAAAAAGAAAGAAGAAAAAATGTCGTTCTCAATAATCGAGAAAAAAAAGTTCGCGCTAAAAAAATAAAAGAAAGAAAACAACTCAAAATGGCCAATTTTCCCGAGAAGGTAAAGAAGAAAATTTCTTCCAAGTTCCAAACAACGTGAATTTTCTCCGGTTAATTAACCATCTCCAAGGTATCTCTTGAAGGATCACTTTCACGGCATGAGAAACCATTCACTGATGAGCAAATCGGGCGCCACTTGGGGGAATAATTCTCCCAGTTTTTTCCTCTTCCTCACGTTTCGTTGAGCAAAAATTCCCCAACATTTGCTGCTCCGTCAAGGAAAACTACGGGATGCTAAAAAGTTACATCAAATAATGCAAGGTAAGAAAAAAAAGCTTCCAACATCCCGATGAAGTAAATGTCCATTGAAAATTACTCCAATCGAAACTAGACATTGGGGCACGCGTGTGAAGCAAAATATAAATTTCAAATGATCACCCCTGAGCAACTTTTACTGACTTGAAACCTCAGAAGCACAATTCTCGAAGAAAATCATCAAATTTAACCTTCCATTCGATCAACTTTCACATTTACAAGTTAACGGTGGTGCTTTTTCAACATGTCATGTTCGATTTTTTCTCGTTAATTTTTCACCAGCAGGGTTACTTAGCACCGAAATGTACTAAACAGTTGTCTGTCCTTGAGTATTGAAAGGAGGAGACTCCAGAGATTATTCAGATTCATTCAAGAATTAAAAACATGAATTTCCCCGCTTTTTTTCCGACAAAATAACAAGAGAAAAATTCAAGATTTAGGAGACGGCAGCATTCGGTCTTCCTGTCCCAAATCCGCGCCTTCATCAATGACTGAAACTTTTAAAAATGTACTTTAATTCATTTAAAATTACCTATTCGAAATAAAACATAACCAATAGTCACAAAAAAAGGTCGCGAAGGCCCAAAAAATAATTCTCGAAACACATCTTTTCAATTCTCGCAACCTTGATACTGCAAATGAATATTCTGCGCTTTTCTTGATTGCGTCGAGGAAAGCCATTGCATATTCAGAAATAAATTTGCATTAAAAATGCACTGAGAAACGATACTATGAACTAGTTCACACAGACACAAATTGAAAATTTTTCAGCAAAAGGATTTAGTTAATCAAGTACTTCAACAAAAAAAAAGGTTCGACTCAATCCATGATTCCAACGGAGCAATAGAATTCAAGTAACAGGAAAAATAAAATCGTCGTAGAGAGAATTTCGTTTTGGGGAACCCCAATGACATTAGAAGAGAATCATGTGGGACCAAAAAAAATGAAAAATCCCGTCATACAGAGAAAATTGTTGCATACAAGATCGTCGTGGAAAGAGAGAGACTAACTAACTACCGTACATACTAAATAATTCGCGAAAGACGAGAATCTTGAAGAAAAAAAAAGCGCAGGGATTCGAATTTTGACAGCGAGAAAAACTTTCTCAACAGCCTCGGGAAAACGGTTCGTAATGGGCAGGAAGCTTCAGTCAAAATTCCCACGACTCATTACGGGGCTTCAAAACGAAAGCAAGACGCAACCAACAATGCGGGGCAAAAAAATAAATAACTGAACAAAATAAAACTGCGTCTATGCCACAACATTTCATTCGCACGGCTATCGTGAAATGGGTCGACGATCGGCAACAAGGACCGCACATGAAATAAAACTGCTTGGGAAAATATTCCGGGAAGCTTTGCCTTTCCTGAAACCAGATCTGGGTCGATGTTTTTCAGTACACAGCACGGAAAAAAAGTCCGCAATGGAAGCGGGGATAAATTTCAGAGATGTTTTTCGATGTTCGCTTCCAATGGACCGGAAAAAAACGAGGCCCCTTTTCTAATGGCACGGTACTGATTCTAGGGATTAAAGAAAAAAAAAGCCAGTCGCAAAAGGAAAACTCCTTCAGTAATTTGTATCCACCATCATTCAAAAATAATTTATATCCATCAAAGAAAAGGAAGACAAAATGTTTTGATGTCAAAATCTCCTGGTTGTTTTCGTTCATTCACCAGCACTCAGCAAATTCAGCAATATGCACCAAGTTTTCTCTCATCAACATTTTCCAACAATACCCACTAACATTAACTGCTAGATTCCATCAGTATTTCATTTTAGGTTATCTACTAAAGAAACTGAAAATTTTGTGCATCACTCAATGATGACCCTTTATAACAATGTATCTCCTCAGCATCACTCTTCAATGAAATCCGCATACAGTGTTTCCTTTTGAAATGAGGAGGAGGTTTGCTAACCAAAAAGTTGCCAACCACGAGGGTTTACTAAGGGTCCCCGTTACACCATCATCATTATTTTTTTCACAGTCTTCATTTCATTCAATTTTTTATTTTTTTATCTTGACACACTCTGAGTGGGGGGTTGCTGATTGAGGGTAATCTGTATACACCATTATTAAGATTATTGTCATCAAAGTAAAAGTCCAACCTCTTCAAGTCGAATTTCAAGGGACCAGCAAAAAAAATCGACTTAGGGAGGTTTTGAATTATAAATGTTAGAGCAACAATACAAAGCCTTTTTGTTCTGGGAAAATTGGGGAAAAAATTCCCAAAATTGTGAATAGTGTTATTTTTGGGCTTAAAATGAGTTACAAGGATGCTGAACTTGGAGGCAGGGGTTCATTTGCCCAATGAAGTCTTTCACTTCCTTCAAAAACCCATCAATTCATGTTTTTGTAGCGTTTTTTTTCTCAAGAAAATAATGGCCAATAGGTCACAGAAAATTCGACTTATGGAGGGTAGAGGGGGAAAAAAGCCTTCGACTCAGGGAGGTTTTTTAATGTAGTGTTTCAGATGGGGGACCAAAAAATAAAATAAATAAGAATTCGACTCAGGGAGTGTTCGACTTTTCTAGGTTCACCTTTCAATTCAATTTATTATACTGTACTGCGAAAATTGCTTCACCTTGGCACACTCGGAGTGGAAGAGAGCTTCGGCTGCGCAGATGGTCTGGAAGTTGGACACGAGGAAGGGGATCCGAGAGTCGTACAAGGCCGGCAGCTCCTGATGTAGCTCCCAGTTGAGCGTCTCGTAGTTGCGTCGCGAGTCTTCCAGCTGTTCCCGCACCTTGCCAATTTTCCCGTCGTCGCGCTTCTTGGGATTCGACTGCAACGCCTCCAGCGCGTGTCTGTTGCTATCGTAGTCGAGCAGTTTCCGTCCGCGTTTCTCAATTTTCGACTGNTCACATAATGTTCAATTGCCACCACGAAAAAGTTGTACAGTACAAGCTAAAAAAGAGCAATTAAAAAGTGGTCGTCCCAATGAATCGTGGCTTTACATGATTTGTCAACAGACAGGAACTCATAACTTTCCTCAAGAGATTATTCAGATTTATTCAAGAATTAAAAACATGAATTTCCCCACGTTTTTTTCGACAAAATAACAAGAGAAAAATATAAGATTTAGGAGACGGCAGCATTCGGTCTTCCTGTCCCAGTTCCGCGCCTTCTTCAATGACTGAAACTTTTTAAAATGTACTTTAATTCGTCTAAAATTACCCATTCGAAATAAAACATAACCAATAACCACAAAAAAGGTCGCGAAGGCCCAAAAAAGAATTCACGAAACTCATCTTTTCAGTCCTCTCAACCTTGATACTGCAAATGAATATTCTGCGCTTTTCTTGATTGCGTCGAGGAAAGCCATTGAATATTCAGAAATAAATTTGCATTAAAAATGCACTGAGAAACGATACTATGAACTAGTTCACACAGACACAAATTGAAAATTTTTCATCAAAAGGATTTAGTTGATCAAGTACTTCAACAAAAAAATGTTCCACTCGATCCATGATTCCAACGGAGCAATAAATTCAAGTAACAGGAAAAATAAATCGTCGTAAAGAGAATTTCGTTCTGGGGAAACACAATGACATGAAAAGAGAATCCTGTGGGACAAAAAAAAATATCCCGTCAGCCAGAGAAAATCGTTACATACAAGATAGTCATGAAGAGAGAGACTAACTAACTACCGTACATACTAAATAATTCGCGAAAGACGAGAATCTTGAAAAAAAAAATGCGCAGGGATTCGAATTTTGACAGCGAGAAAAACTTTCTCAACAGCCTCGGGAAAACGGTTCGTAATGGGCAGGAAGCTTCAGTCAAAATTCCCACGACTCATTACGGGGCTTCAAAACGAAAGCAAAGCGCAGGGATTCGAATTTTGACAGCGAGAAAAACTTTCTCAACAGCCTCGGGAAAACGGTTCGTAATGGGCAGGAAGCTTCAGTCAAAATTCCCACGACTCATTACGGGGCTTCAAAACGAAAGCAAGACGCAACCAACAATGCGGGGCAAAAAAATAAATAACTGAACAAAATAAAACTGCGTCTATGCCACAACATTTCATTCGCACGGCTATCGTGAAATGGGTCGACGATCGGCAAGAAGGACCGCACATGAAATAAAACTGCTTGGGAAAATATTCCGGGAAGCTTTGCCTTTCCTGAAACCAGATCTGGGTCGATGTTTTTCAGTACACAGCACGGAAAAAAGTCCGCAATGGAAGCGGGGATAAATTTCAGAGATGTTTTTCGATGTTCGCTTCCAATGGACCGGAAAAAAAAACGAGGCCCCTTTTCTAATGGCACGGTACTGATTCTAGGGATTAAAGAAAAAAAGCCAGTCGCAAAAGGAAAACTCCTTCAGTAATTTGTTTCCACCATCATTCAAAAATAATTTATATCCATCAAAGAAAAGGAAGACAAAATGTTTTGATGTCAAAATCTCCTGGTTGTTTTCGTTCATTCACCAGCACTCAGCAAATTCAGCAATACGCAGTAAGTTTTCTCTCATCAAAATTTTCCAACAATACCCACTATCATTAACTGCTAGATTCCATCAGTATTTCACTTTAGGTTATCTACTAGTGAAACTGAAAATTTTGTACATCACTCAAATGATGACCCTTCATAACAATGTATCTCCTCAGCATCACTCTTCAATGAAATCCGCATACAGTGTTTCCTTTTGAAATGAGGAAAAGGTTTTCCAACCAAAAAGTTGCCAACCACAAGGGTTTACTAAGGGTCCCCTTTACACCATCATCATTATTTTTATCAACAGTCTTAATTTCATTCAATTTTTTATTTTTTATCTTGACACACTCTGAGTGGGGGGTTGCTGATTGAGGGTAATCTGTATACACCATTATTAAGATTATTGTCATCAAAGTAAAAGTCCAACCTCTTCAAGTCGAATTTCAAGGGACCAGCAAAAAAAATCGACTTAGGGAGGTTTTGAATTATAAATGTTAGAGCAACAATACAAAGCCTTTTTGTTCTGGGAAAATTGGGGAAAAAATTCCCAAAATTGTGAATAGTGTTATTTTTGGGCTTAAAATGAGTTACAAGGATGCTGAACTTGGAGGCAGGGGTTCATTTGCCCAATGAAGTCTTTCACTTCCTTCAAAAACCCATCAATTCATGTTTTTGTAGCGTTTTTTTTCTCAAGAAAATAATGGCCAATAGGTCACAGAAAATTCGACTTATGGAGGGTAGAGGGGGAAAAAAGCCTTCGACTCAGGGAGGTTTTTTAATGTAGTGTTTCAGATGGGGGACCAAAAAATAAAATAAATAAGAATTCGACTCAGGGAGTGTTCGACTTTTCTAGGTTCACCTTTCAATTCAATTTATTATACTGTACTGCGAAAATTGNAAAAATGAGAATTGTGACCGAAAATAGTCGTAGTGAGCATTCGAAAATTTTTAGGGGGGGGGGGGGGGTTCGATTCAAATCACGAAATTATTCGGCTCAAAGAATGCGAAAATGCAACAACTTGCACATTTTTTTCAAAAATCTAGGAAAAGAGAGAGAGAGAGAGATTTAAGTTTCACAGGTTTCTGTCTTAGAGAATTGTGATCTAAAATAGTCGTAGTGAGCAATCGAAGATTTTTAGGGAGGGGGTGCGACTCAAATCACGAAATTATTTGGCTCAAAGAATGCGAAAATCGCCACAACTTGTACATTTTTTCAAAAATCTAGGAAAAAAAAGAGATTTCAGTTTCACAAGTTTCTGTCTGTGAAAATTGAAAAATTCAGAAAGCTTTGAGCAAGAGTCGTCAAGGTTACGTTAATTTCATGCTAAAAAATATCAAATTCACATTTTCCGCGGAAAAATTCCCACATTGCACGGTTTATTATACTGTACTCTTTTGTTTGTTCTGGATCCGATAAAGTCAACTGCAATGTAATCTCAAGGGAAAGCACACTTTATAAAACAAAAATACAGTCCAAACGAAACTCATCCAGAAAAAGGATTCTAAAGCCATAAGCTCCTCGATGACATGAAGCTTAAAATTTAATGGTTTTGTCGGTAAAACAGGTTATAACACAGTGTGTTTTTTTCTGCTTTTGGGCGTCTAGTCTGGTTCTTAAGTTTGCGTAGATGTATAGAATACTTGGCTTTACAGCATTCACAGAATTTTAGATATTGATTCGAATTTTTCAAAAGCCGTGGTTTTTTCATCATAGCAACCACGAATTAAAAGATGAAGACTTGAAACGAAACTTATATTCAAGCCACCGAACTCTATATTCGTTGAATCCAAAATTAAAATTACACCCCTAGGGACAATGGAATTACAGGTTCAGAGAAAAAACCTTCAGAAGTACTGTATTATTCAACGATGCCGTAAATTCAACCAATCGCAAAAAATGAACGAATAATTTTGTCGCTCAAGAAGCTTCTGAAACGTTTCATTCGTCACATGCACAAAATTTGACAAAGGGATTCTAGGAAAGTTTTTCTCAAATTTTGGGGCAAAAATCTTTGTACATGCCCTAAATACTGATAATTTTCGCAAATGTATTGCATTTTAGACAAATAAAACAGAAAAAAGTTTGAACTTGAAGAGAAGTACAGTACTACTAATGTATTTCTAAATCAAAGTACTGTGAGCCCTCGGTTAACGAACTTAATTGGTTCCAGACAAAAGTTAATTAACCGAACAGTTTGTCAATCGAATTTGATTTTCCCATAGACTTCAATGGGGAAGAATTTAATCCGTTTCGTGAACCCAAAATATAATTTGAATTGAATTGTACTTGAAAGTACGACGAAAAAGAGGTATTTCCCAAGAAAAAATCAAAAGCTTGACCCGAAGACACACTTTCCCCTCTTTATAGAATATCAATTTTCCCATTCCAACTGCTTTCGTAATTATTCATACTTTCAGGATAATTTTATCGTGTGCTAAATTTTGTGCATTCGATTAGGATCCTGCTTCCGGTTCAACCCAATCGACAAAAACAGGACGGCCTGTCTGAAAATGTCCAAAAACTCAACCGTAAGACAAAGTGTGAACGTTCTCAACGTAAAATAAACTTTATCCACGCTTTAATATTCCGTAAGTTCGAAATTGAACAAAAGACGAAGAAGCCAAGTATCACATTTGTCGCACAAATTCAAAAGTTCTCTTTTTTTTCGCTTCACTGAGTACAAAAACAACAGAATACCTAAAAAAAAAAAAGACGCGGAAACATCAACGACCTAAAAAAAATAATATCCAGATTTTTATTGAGGGATTTAAATCGAGACTTTAATTCGTGAAAATCACAAATGGGAAACGTACTCTGTATTCGGGAAATTGGGCCATGTGATGGCTGAGAGGTGCAGCAACCTGCTCAATCAACTTTTGAGAAAAGTCTGCCCACAGCATCTCTAGGTTCTGCGACTGGATCACCAACACGTCTCTATCGGTCCACTCCAGCTCGTACATTTCGTTGATCTGGTCAAACAAGCTTTTGCTGGCAGCTTGCATAGCTATAAGAACACACGATAAAAAAAAAAATGATTCAGTAAAACAGTGTCAATCGCAATTCAGCAAAAGTCGTGCTTTTTTCAGTTAGTCTTTCCTCGGCAAAATTCTCAATGGGCCCATTAATAGCATAAATAAATTTACGTGCGGCATGAAAAGGAGCAAGAGAGCTCAACTGCATAAAAACAACCTAAGATAACCCAAAATAATATAAGAGAACGTGAGTATGTGGGCATGAGGACAAAAGCGGAAGCAAAAAATAAAAATAGGAGGAATTCAAGAAAACAATCATTCGATCCAAATGCTAATTTTTAAAATCTTCCTACACGAACTTAAAATGGAGTCATAGCTCCGAATTATTTTCTGAAGAAAAAAATTTCGCCTCAAATGTAGCAAATGCTTGAAGCAATCCTAAACGATTGAAAGCACTTATTGAATTAACCAGAACAACACATTTTTACTTCGCTATTTTAGTACTGCAAAATGTATACCCTCTCATCGTCGATTTAATCTCAAGTCAAGCCAAGAATAGTAATTGATTTTAAAAATTCCCCGCGTTTCGAAGGCAGGCAAAATGCTTAGACTACCCCAGAGAAATCCAAAAAAGCTACTATCGAATCTACTTCAACCCTCCTGAAGGTTTTGAAAATTCGACGCAAAATAAATGGAAAAATAAACTTGCAATGTTCTTTTTGTAGTCAAGAACCAAATCGAAGACACAAAAAAATCGCAATCAAAATACCTCGCACGCATCGAACATAGTTGTTGACCTCCTTCTGTAATCGAGTCGCAGAATTCGCTTGCTTGTTGAAATTGTGTACATAATCGTCGAAAATTTCGTCAGTCGTCTTATCTGCCTTGCCAAGGTTTTGCAGAATCTGAAATAAAATAAAAATGACACAAAAAACTGAAATTAAAATCGCACGAGCCTCCATCATCGTTTAAACAAAACTTTTCAAACCACTCAACGACTTAGCCTGCAAAGATACTTAATTTCATAAATAAAAAAAGCACACGTTACCACAGAGAAAATATCCCGAAGGAATTGGAAAAATCCATGAACTTTTTTTTGTCAAAAAGAACATTGTACGTGAGTAAAATTCGGTGAAGCATTGACGTCACAACTCCTCGAAGGTGATTTTAACGGATTCCATCGTAAGCCATATCGATTTAACGCGAAAACTAACTCAGTTCTGGTCCGAAAGGGTTATTTTTTTTACCAACTCAGGAAATTCTCAATTTATACACCACCGCGATTTTAAACAAATACGATTTTAAGATGTCAAAGACAAATAAAAATTTAACTGATGCATATGGCGCGTTCTTTTCTTCCCAAGCCCTCAGGAAAAAATACATAAATGGCGTCAAACAAGAAATACAAAAATTCACAGCATAAAAAGATCAACGACGGTCTTTTCTGAATGCTGAATGCAAAATCCCAACTTTCCATTCCCGTCTAAAGAAAAATTCAGCAATTGAAAATGGCTCAAAAATCAGTACCGTTTGGCCATTTTAACAGACCACAAATCGTCTTAGCGCAATTCGTTCAATGGGATCAACTGAAAGTCGTAATTGCGTAGCATATTTCGTTAATATACAGGGTAGGCCACAAAAAAAGTGAACCGATTTTTGACTTGAAATAGCTGAGTATCAAATTCAGCTGTGGCAATGAAAAAAAACACCAAATGAAAGCTTGTTAAATTCTCTTTCAAATGGTATAAAATTGTATGGTTCCAAGTGCCAAAAGAACCACTTGAATGAAAACTTTCAACGAAAAAAAGAAAGTTGTCAGGCGACTTTTTCCACTAAGCTGCTGATCTGGAAATATGTTTGCATCAATAGAGGAAATGAATGATGCAATAACAGCAAACTTCGTGCTGTCTTGGAGAGCCCACACATGTTTCCAAAATTCAGACAGAGGGGTTGAAAGCGGGGAAGGAAATTGGCAAGATAGAATCCTGATCGGCTCCCGCTGGGCACATGTGCTGTGTTAGGAATTTTGAGTCTTCAAAATTTAGAATATTTGCAGAGTCTTGAATCAATTCACTTAGAGAGAAATAAAGAAAGCAACGATCAGCCGGGGTGCTTGACACCCTAGAGTAAGGTCAGTACATTTGGATAAAGCACAGATTTTGAGAACCACAACATGATATCAACAAGACCTCAGACGTCTTTTGCGTGAGACTGACCCAAAGTAACTGATGATCATACGCAGAAAATCTTCAGTATTTAAACCCCTTTTCCAAAGCAAAATTTCATCCCTCAAGACAGATTTGTCTTGGGAAATCCCTGAGGATGCAAACCCTCATGCGAACTCAAGGTCAAACTTGGTCCCACAAAATTCCAAACGGATTAGATGTTCCTCTCAATGATCTCTTCCTGCACTAATATTAATAACTAAATCTAACTTCCAACAAAAGCTGGCCATGGAGCTCCCGGTGACCAACCGGATTCGCACTTTTTTTTTCTGGATGACTGGATTGCAGAAACTGATCTCAAGTGAAAATGATTTTGAATTAAACTGATTGCCTAGACTGATTTGGTAATTCAAGTTGAATGAAACTCAACTTGAGTTCAACCCAACCCCAACCCAACTTGAATTTACAGTGAGACCCCGAGATGCAGATGTAATTGGTGCATCAAGAGTGTACCCAAGTCAAAATGTCCCTAAGTTGAGTCTTGTTTTCCCATAGACTTACATTATATAATTTTCAATTGGTGTTTTATGGAAGAAATATTCTTCAGAATTCCCTGAAAAAAATTGTCTGCAACTTGAATTTGAATTAGTGAATAAATTTTCAACTCAATAAGAACATTTGAAGCATTGAATAGTGTATCTCTGTACTGTACAGTATATTGCAATTTTGCCATCTACAAAAATAACATTCAAGTGAAAAAAAATAAGTCCCTCTATGCTGGAGGTAATTTTTTTAAATTAGCTAAATGTATGGTAATTTGGTGAGAGAAATGCTCAAGAACTTTTCTTAAATCAATTTCAGGGTTTGGAATATCTGTTTCTCGTAATTTGGCCTGAAATTTATTTGCAATTTCATCACAAAATGTCCCTATGTAGAGTCAGTGTCCTCATGTCAGGCCTTATTTATTGATTTTTTCTGGGAAAATAATTGTCCCTATGTCAAATTGTCCGCAGGTCGAGGTGTCCGCATGTGGGGGACTCACTGTAGTTCAAAAACTTTTTTGTGGAAAGTTATCATTCAAATGACACTTGTGAAAATTCCGTGGCACTTAAGACATACAATTTTATACAATTTGAAAGATAATTTAACAAGCTTTCATTTGGTGTTTTTCTTTCATTTCCACAGCTCAATTTTGCTGCTGAGCAATTTCAAGTCGAAAATCGGTTCACTTTTTTTTGGTCCACCCTGTACATAGATACATTTTTTTTTTTTTTACATTTGGGAAACTAGTTCCACACGTATTTCGCTTCTCAACTTGGCATGGTATATCGACCAACGTCGTTTCCGTTCGACCCTGCACCAGGAGCACGTGATCCCTTCCCCCCCATCGTCTTTTGCAAGGATTCCTAAAATCCCAGATTTGCGCCATTCCCAGTCATTTCCTCCCGAGTTTTTTCCTCGTTTTTTAGTGGGGAAAGAGAGGTTTTTTTTCTCTTGGATCTGAGACACTATTTTCTTTATTTTGCTGTGTTTCGTGAGTCTCTTCACTTCATCTGTGCCACCCACCTTTGCACTCTGCCAAGCCGCTTTTCGAGTGAACCCATGGCGAGGAATCGTGACATGTCACCAAGGGCTCTCGCTCTCCTAAGAATTTCCTTTCCAATTCAATTTACGCTCTTTTGATCATGAATCAAAACGGAATGAGAGGAAAGAAAAGGGGAGAGAGTCTAGAACAAGGTCGAAATAGATCGCATATCAAGATTGAGAAAATTTTAAGGTGAGCTGATATGTTTACCGTCTAAATATAGGTTTTTTTTACTTGAGAGTTCCTAAAACGCGTGTTTTCTAAGTCGTTCACAACTTTATTTATATTTCGGCTTCTTTCTTTTTTAGAGGTCTCTTTGTTATTGAAAAAGAAAAATCGAGCAAACGAAAGAATAAATACAAACTTAAATGATATAAATCATATTAATGATAAAAATCACACATTTCCGTTTTAAGCTAACTATTTTGAGCAGTTGCCATTTTAAAATTCAATATTTTACTGAGCACCCCATAAAAATAGTTTGCTCATCGGTTCTTCAGTCTTAATGCGTTTCTTCAAGCGGCAAAAAATTCGGATAAAAAATTTTTACATTAGAAAATGAGCACAGAATTGTGGAATATTATTTCCAAAAACGATCCCAACATGCGTCTTTCGGACGTGACTACAAAAGACGGATGCATCATCGAACATGACCAGAGTTAACGACGATGCTGGTCTAGCAATGGGTCGCGTGACCCGACACGAGTGTTCGTGGGGTCACCGGATCCCCGCAAGTCATAAGGTCATTCAAAAAGCGTCACGGGATTCGAAAGAATACAGAATCGATGCCACATTCGGGGCAAGAAATGATGCAACTGAATATTTTCCATCCCATTTGTGCGAAAGCTAGAAAAATTGCCTCAACTTCAACCGACAAAAAGAAAAACAAAATCGCCGCTTTCCGGCCTGGTCATTTTTTCCCCAATGCTATTGAATGATTTGAAAAGTTCGTAGGAATACGACCTCGAAGACTTTGATCTCTATCGACAATTTAGATTGTGAAATGCATCTCAAGATTAAATCCAAGATCATTTCAGATTTTCAGTCGACTGAATAATCGTTCCAAGGTTATATTCAATTTACTACATCACTACAGCATGACCCAGCTGTTTAGATTCACAGATGATACCACCCTTTTTCCATAAAAATGGTCAAAAAGAGGAGCAGAATTCAAATTTTTATAAACCGACCTTATTCAATTGCAACAATCGTAAAGATTTACAATATGCATAAAAAAAAACTAGTGAAATTTCGAATTTCATCCGCAAAAATGGTCATCAGAAGTAGTATCAGCTAGTTCCCTCAAAAATATAACGTAAAATGTCTAGTCAACACGAATTAAATTGGGGATCCGAAAAATCCTAGAACACTGTATTATCCAGAAGCTAGATAGGGCGCACCAAGCAATGATTGAACGAACGTACAGTTTTTAAAATACTGCAATGTAATATAAACTGTTAAATATCTAAAAAAAAATAAAAAATACTGTATAAACTTACACAAATACACAAGATTTAAACCACGGCGCTGTAAAAATAAATATCGAATTGAACTGATCACATTTTCTTTTAAAGAGACTTAGAGAAGATAAGTCCCACATTTTCTTATCACGAGGGTTGATTCGTTTTTTTCCGGGCCTTTTCCCAAAAAAGCGTAACTTTCAACGATTGGTGGACAATAAGCCTCAAAAAACTCAGCTACCATCCACATTGATTTGTCAGGTCTATACCGAGTATTCTTCCATTCTGGCGACATCTGCGCCTTACAATTTGTCCAGAATTGTTGACACGGTGAAGACAAAAAATGAAATTTGTCAGCATAATGAAGACGCTGAAATTTCTTTCTTGTCTCGTTTCAGTTCACTCCGTAGTACAGAAATTCAATAAGTTACACACGAAACCTTCCGTAGTAGTATTAAATAAATCTCTGCTGGGCAATGCTGCCCAGAAGAATTCCGAACTCTGCATAAAATCCTCGGTAAACTCAAGATAAAAAATAAACCCCTACATATTATTTTATCCTCGATTAAATATTCATGAACTTATCTAAGCTCTGAAGACGCAATCAATAGACACTAACAGCGGCAATTTCCGGGAATCCTGTTCGATCCCAGGTATTAAATTTCTCCTCCAACGCAAACACCCAAGCCGCACCCATATCACCGAGGTTTAAAAAAAAAAGAGATATCAAGTGACTAAACACTTCCCACGAAGTTCGCTTAACACATGATGAAGTTTCCGGGAACACGACTTCAGTAAACGGATGAGAGAAACCACATAATTTTTAATTACATTATACAGCAATCTCAGAACACGATGAGAAGTTGACATCGGCACGTGGTAAGTTTAAATGTTTCATTCTTCGCATAATTTCAAAGAGTTTCGTTGAGCGAAAAACCAATCAAATTATACAGTAAATTTGACAGAAAAGCTTTTAAAAATCATAGAAGCATCGACTGGCCTGGAATAAGCGAATAAACTTAAAACATGAGTTTTTAATGCGCATTAGTAGAAAATCTGGCCCAATCGTGGATTTCACCTAATTGAACAAGCAATAAACATTCCTAGAGTTCCGCAAGAAATAAATCCAAGTACGGGAAACACCAAGGAAACTTTCTATATTCTTCTAAAACGAAACCAAGCGAGCAATCCATACTCTTCATTTATAAGACTTTTTCCGAATCTCTTCAATATTTCACACACACACAAAAATAGTGCGACCAACAGTTCATTTATTCATAATAGACTGATCGAGATGATTATTTATTTTATCGCCTCAAATTTTCATTCCAGTTGAAAAACCTTTACTAATCGGTTTGATGATCAAGATGTCCGAAAATCCTCGGAATAGGAACCGAAGCTCGGTAATGTTCTTTCGGAGGTTCGGCGAAATCTGGGATACCGAAATATCTAAATCGCAAAGTAAGGGAAACATTTTGAAAAATGCCTCGTAATAAGTCACCGCAGAAAAAAAAAAAGTGGTGAAAACCGACGAAAATTATAGAAAAATGCGAGTCTGACTCTTTCCGGGCTCGAAGCAGCAGCATGCCAATAACGGGAGCCAGAAAACCAAGACGAGAAACATTTCTCGGCCATCGGTAACTCTGCTCATCAAATTTTATTTTTCCTTCAACCACCTCCTCTCTTTCGCTTGAGACTTTTATACAAAAAGGCTTGGCACCCACCCACGCAAAAGCACCTCCACTACAGCGAAAACACCCGAACCCTGAACCTGAGAGCGGCTTGAAACCACAAGGTCGCTCGCAACCAGAACAAACTCGATCAACTCCCCCACGAGAGCAACCATGACGCCAAGAATAACACCCAAGGATTCTTACCTGAAGAGAAGCAAGCTGTACAAACCCGGAACTCAAAAAAAGAGACACGCAAACTTCAGAAAAAAATAAGCCTCTCTGGACAAAACAATGAGACCGAATAACGCGCTTAACGCATGCGAGATATTGTTCCGGCATCCACAAGAAAACTGCCAGCTAAAAAATTAGCACACAATGCTTCACCGAGCTACTCGAGAAACAGCTTTCAAGAATAAAAAAAATAAAATAAAAAAGGAACGGAGAAATCTTGGGCCAATGACTTTGAAAACACAATTCCCAAGGCAACTTCCGATTACAATCCCATCATGTGAATAATATTACCAACCTGTTTTCTCAAAAAAAATAATAATGCCACAGGCATGCTAATTACTGAACTATCGTTCCAATGCTCATGCATGTACTGTACTTGAAATCAATTAAAATTCATTCATAAAATACTATACTGTACTTCCACTACTCAATTCCTAGTTTAATTTATATTTTAAGACAGTCATACTTCATACCCGTTCAAAGGTGTACTCACCAAAACATTGCTACTCAAAAAAAATTGCCTGCTCACAATTCACTTCCTAATAATGCAAATACAATTCATCTACCAACAGAACCTCTGTATAAAAAATTCTTTCACTTCCTTGCGCCCATTTCAAAAATTAAATTTGAGATTTGAGATTACTCAACTATTCAGGTGAATATATTTTTTTCAATTGGACCAGAAAATTTCCGCACGAATGTGATCTTGCAACTGTGTGCAACACCTGCAAAACAAACTTTTGAGATTTGAGATCTTGGTTGTTTTTAGCTCGGAATTACGGATTTGAATAGATAACACGCGCTGATTTCAGACTTGTGCAATTTCCAGCAATAAAAAGTCAAGAACCGTTACATTTTCTAGGATTGGCAACACTTTTTTCTTTTAATTCTTCATACAATGAAAGTGAATAACGTTCTTGGGCTTCATCATCACGTGGTACTAATTAATTGCCGAAACCAGAGGAAATTCCCATAAAACTCCCCGACAGGTTTGTAAAAATATTTTCCTGGACGGAATTTAAACCAAAAACTCGTCAAAAAGTCAGAACTCCGCAGCTAAACGCTCATTTTCTTCCACCCAAGAAAAAAAAAGAATAAATAATAAAACGAACAAGAAATTTCCACCTAAAAATCATTTCCCCATGGACGTGAAGACCAAAAAGAAAGACTCGGAATCCAAGCCAAGAGAAAATGAACGTCGTGAAAACACGCCATAACCTGCCTACTAACCCAAACACCTGCAAATTACCAATAAAACGCCGCTTTCTTTCATCGCAATCTCAAACATGGCACCTTTCATTCTTTACTGCCAAGAGGAAAAAAGCGGGTCAGGAACTCCCTTCGAGTTTTCTAGTCATCAGAAAAAACCAGCGGGAAACCATTAAGTCGCGTCCCGAAATGCTTCAACCTTTGACACTGTTCGGCAAACGAGAACAAAAGCCACCTGAGTGTACGGTACAATATACCGCAAAGACGCGACTATTCATCCAAAGCTAAAACCTGAACTGTTATTTTTATAATGACAAATCCGTTTTTATTTGCAACGAGAGAAAATTTTGCACCAACACGTTCACTCATCCGCAGAAAAATTTTTGCGTCCGGAAAAATTCATCGAACGCATGGGATTCCGTATATTTTTCATTTCTTTGAAATGTCGAGACGATTGACAAAATTCATTAATTAATTAAAATTTTACGTTGTATGCATTGTCAAAACTCGAAAAATCTTTACACGAAGTTGAAAATTCCGCGACTTTCCGCAAAAATTACAAGGGTTTCCTTTCAAAATTTCTCACCACAACGACACATAAATTAAGAAAAAATTTCTCAAGACTCATTCTTTTAGTTAAAACAAGAATTACATTCAATTTTTTTCCGATTGCGTCCAATATTATTCCAAGTGTTGCCAATCCTAGAAAATGAAACGGTTCTAGAATTTTTATTGCTGGAAATTGCACAAGGCCTGAAATCAACGCATGTTGTCGATTTAAATGCGTAATTTCGAGCTAAAAACAACCAAGATTTTAAATCTCAAAGACAAGCACCAAAAATAATAACATTTTCACTCGAAGGGAAGTTGCTACTTAGTGATCCACCAAAATTGTCCGAAGTTCAGAAAAGTCTTATTAATATTGTAAAAGGCTTTTAAGAACTTCGCCAGGCCGTAAATACTTCGTTTGAAATTATATTGCCTGGAATTGATCTTTGAAAAAAAAACGAAGATTTGAAGACGGGACGACGAGAAGTGACAGATTTTCTGTTCTCTTCACGCTCGGTCTTCGCGAAAAACAACTGACATTTTCACTAATTTTATTGATGAAATTCTGCTGAGCACAAGGAAAAAAAAATAGACGAGCTTTTCGAAAACTATCCATACGTTCAACAAATCCAGGGCATTTTAAAAGCCATTGACGAGAAACCACATCCCATTTTCCCACTCGCATAATCCACGTTTAACATCTGGCCAATTGCCCCCAAAAGAAAACACAAGAGGCGCAGAAGAAGCCAATTTTTATCAGCAGTTCCAGCGGTGAGAACCGATCGATTCGAGTTTCCGAAATGCACACGGAAATACATTTGATGACCAACTGACCGTTTGTCCCGCAACCAATTGAAGAAAAACAAAAACAAAAAGAAGAAGGGAAATGCAAATCGAGAGAAAATAACTGGTAGAAAGTACTGACGAACTTTCTAAACGGGAAGGAACCCACAAACAGTCAGCATATTATTATTTTATGGCTTTACAAAATAACATTGAACAACTCCTCTCTGATATTTTATTTTTCAGTACATTCCATCAGGAATTATACGAAGTCAGGTTATTTTTCCTCGGGGCTTTCGGAACGTCATGAACACGAAGCCGTTCCAGCAAAATATTTTTCCAAATCTATGGATCTTTCTCCGAATGTACTTTTATGTAAGCGATATAGGCATAAAAAAATTGTAACCTCCGGGATGAAATCGGAGCAGAAAAATTAGCAGGACGAAAATGCCTAAGAAAACAGACGTTAAAAAAAAACTCGAAAGATCAATAATCAGACTTTTTTTCACAAGAACAGGAAAGCAGGAGTTGAATGAAAGTACAGTATATCATACTTGCTGATGAGCTAAGTTACAGAAATCATAAATGCATTTGAATTACAGAACACCAACCAGATTTGAATAAAGTAACCAGGAGTTGAAATGTTGAAATTTACAACTAGAAGCCTTAAAATTTGAAATTTATATTCATTTTCAGATTTCCCAACTTTCAGAATAAAGCAATCACATTAATCCACCCAACGCAGGAAAATTACTACGAAATAATAATTGATACTGTTCGAACAACCAAGAATAATCCATTATAATTGATTATGAAATTAATGCTCATAATTTTAAATCCAGCTCGATATCAGGAAAATTAAAGGCTCGACATACGGAAAATTACGATGAGACAACGCGATTTGAGAGTCATCACACACAACAAGCACTTCAGGTTAGTACCACAAGTAGCTTGTTACCTTTCGAGAGATTGAATAGGCGATAAAAGGCTCAGAGAAACAGCACATTCATAAATACTCCCACAAGTTTACTCAATAATTGACTAGATACGCAAGCCTCAAGAAAAATATGTTTATAAACCTTCAATTTTCACCAACAATCTTAGCTTCCGAAGAGTTGAATTGAACCTTCCTAGTCCAAGAAAATGAATGCTTCTGGCCAACCCAAGCACAGTACTGACGAAAAAATGGGATGAGATTTCTTGGGAAAATTTATGAATCGACCCACGCATCGTAAAACCGAGTTTTATAAGC